CTTAATTTAGCTAAAAAATGCCAACAATCTCATTGTAAGAGTATACTTTATTCTAAATTAGCGACATCTTTAATTAGTACTAATTACAGGTTAGCTAAATTAGCTAAAATGAAATGCTAGTTAAAAAGACGTGTTTTATAGTATGTTATGGAATGCTCTTCCAATTAACTTGAAACTGTGTAACAATATTGTCATTTAAGAAAAAGAAAACTAAAAACTATTTTTCAAGCAGGCATATACCTAAACAGAAACTTTTTTATAGCAGCATATTTTTTATCCAGTCTACTTTTTAATTCTATTTTGTTTTCTTTCTTTTACTCCAATGTTATGTACCTATGAGCATTTAGTTGAGCTACTGTAAAATACTTTATTTTTGATTGGAATTAATTTTCTCTATTTTGGCTAAAGGAACAATTAATTTTCTCTATTTTGGCTAAAGGAACAATTTAGTGAAAATATAATCAAGCGAATATACTTTTCCCCCTATATTTTACATTCAACTTGATAAAATCAGTTAAAATAAATTCCATACAAAACACCCAATTTTTTTTTCAGCGAAAATTAATTCCAGCTTTAAAAAAAAGTATTTTACAGTATATAAATACGTACATATTTTTATTATAATTATTATAATTATAATAATAATAATAATAATTATTATTATTATTATTATTATTATTATTATTATTATTATTATTATTATTATTATTATTATTATTATTATTATTATTATTATTATACGTCTTCAACTCTTACGATTAACACACTCATAAAATGCGTACTAAATATCAAAACTTGAACTAAATTACAAAATAATGAGTTCTATGTGATGTTTACACTTCCATTGTTCAGTACGCTGTAAAATCAACATTTTTGTCAATTTTAACATTTAGCTGAATTAGTGTATCTGAAAAACGGATACAATACATTAACAAATTTAAACAAAGTTTGATAACATGTTCAAAAATATTTGTAATGTTTCAAGAATATTAATGTAAACGAAACGATATCAACTGAATATGACTTGTTATTTAACCAACTTTGAACACAATCATCCCAGGAGCGTCTGAAACCCAAATCGTAATCGCTAACATCTCCAGGCACTAATAATTACAAACGCTTGCCGGGGATATCGACTTCAAGTGCTTGACAGTTCAAGGACTGGTACTCTGTATGACCGATAGTTCTATTGTGTAATAAAATGTCATGACATCGGATATGATTGTGAAACCATCGTATGACATTTGATTTGATTGTCAGTTGTTTTACTGACTGAGTGTGTTTGGTTGTGATGGATGCACCGAATGTACGCACATATTGAAAATGATTCGAGTTCATTCTTGATTTCCGGAATGAATGATCGCAGATCCAGACACGTAAGCACTTTACGGCAATATATTTATTGAGGGTCGTTTATTTATCTATGTATGCTTAGGCCAGACTTTTATTATCCCTTGTTTCGCGAACCCACCGAATGAACAAGAGCCGAAAATGAAATAAAAATAAAATTTTATTTCAGCGTAAGTGCTCGCGCCCGCCGACTTGTAAGCGCAAAAATTGCTAAAAAAACATTATTTTTATCTTCATTTTTTTACCGCCCGCCGCATAACAAATCCAAGTTGCATTTTCGTGGGAGTATCATGATCAAAGTACCGAAGTCTCGCGCAGATGAGAAACAAGGTTATACATAGATTAAAATTTTATTTTATTTCTTCTCTCCGATCAATGATCTCACTTACAATTTATTGAGAATTAATTTAATTTTTTTCCCCGCCCTCCTCAAAAAATTGCCTTATAAAAACTCGATAAACAAGGAATAAAAAAAGTCTGACCTTAAGGATGGACACTGTTAACAGTCTGACCTTTGACCCTGGAATTTCCTGCCTGCCAAGTTTTTATTTATGACTGGCCATTTGAAAATATGAAGTAAAAACACTTGGGGCAACCAAACCAGAGTTTGAAGTATGAACTTCAATTGCACGTATTCTGACAAATTTTCAATTCAATGTAGATAGATGCCAACGTAGGGTTTAACCATGAAGTCACTGTTTCCCACTGGCAGTCCAAGCCACGAAAACGAGTTAAAAGACCTATTTTGGTTTAAAAACCTGAATGGTCCCAACATCAAGGGAGATGATATTATCCTTGAGTGGTTCCAACAACAAGGGAGA